AAGTAGTTCGGTGTAATGTAGCCAGCTGCCGCCGCGCCGCGTGCCTGCGAAGCTGGTATGTTACGCCGAAGGGTGGTTATACCGGCTATACCGATACAGATGATAAAAATAGAAAACTAAAGTTCCCCGATCTCATTCCTTCGCCAAATGATGTTAATCTTTAATTATGACTGACAAATTATAGATTATTCCCCCTGATTGTGCAAATAGGATCCTCATTTCCATGAATTACATCACTTTATGATTAATCACATCCATATTTGTATAATTGTCACATAATCATATCAAGCATCACGTAAGCTACCTACAAACCAAAAATCACGACGATCCGTCAACCGGTTCTTGAGTTATCCTCTTTTGAATATTTTCAAACAAATAGCCCTGCAGGGCCCAAAATCACGTCACTTCATCCCCAGCACAAGAGCTACCTACCATCCAAATTTCGTTACCCTAGCCTGTCTAGATCATGAGATATCAAAACCGGAAGTTCAGCTGCAGTACCATAACAAGTCGCCAGGGGCTCCAAAATCTAATCAGTTCGAGCTCTCATCAAGACCTACCCACCTACGAAATATCAATATAATCCATCCAAGCTTTCTCGAGATATGCTGTTGACAGACAGACAGACACACACACGGCCAGGAAAACATAACCTTCTCCAATTCTTGGCGAAGGTAATAATATCATTCCAATACAACTTCTAAAATCGATAATTTTTATCCCATAAGATCAGACGCCTTATACAGGAACTCATTCTTCCAACACACTCACGGTTTATTAAATAAAAATAGTAGAATAGAATAGAATAGAATAGAATAGAATAGAATATATAATAGGAAAGATGTGTACCTCCAAGTGGAACAGTCAGGGCGTTGGCAGCTCTCTTTGCCCTACGGCGGTTCGCGGTACTCGTATCGGGCGGTACGGGCAGCTGCAGGAGGTCAGAGTGGGCGGGCTGGAAGTAATTTCAAAAGAACATTAAGATTTTATTTACTGCCCGCGGCTAAGTTAAGCCATGTTGATTATATGGATGCCATCCCCAAAACGGATACAAGCGTGAGAATAAAAAACAATTTAGCAAAAAAAGTTGCTTTCATTATGAAATCTACGTGGTCATGAAGGTTGAAGAAATGGCACAGGGTATGGCTAGGCGAATAATCTACCCTTCAACTTCATTGTGTACATTTTCGTCTTTTTTGTTTGATTTTGGCATTGTATTCTTTTCGATACGTGTGGTGGGTTCTTTTACGTGCGTGGGGTGTGGCTCTACCCAAACACGGGACCTCCATCTAACGTCCTATCCGAGGGACGTCCCTAACCGAAGCCAGGTATTCATTTACACCTGAGTGAAGCGAGGAAAGTCGTGTAAAGTGCCTTTCCGAAGGGCACAAAGATCGGTGGCATCGGGCAGGATTCGAACCCGGGACCTCTTTCAGTCTGAGCCGAACACTCTACTGTCACGCCACACGCGGACCACAGCTTACCTCGGTTTTCTCCTTGCTATCGTTGTCGCCGAACGATTTGTCTTCATGATCAGCCAGGCCTTCCAACGAAGCCACTCGCTCCAAGAGCTGGTCGAACCGTTCCTCGTTCGCCGCGAAACGTTCCTCGTTCGACGATTCTAGCAGATCGAGACGTTGTCTGAGTCGCCAGTTCTGCAGAGCCACCATGACCAGTCCCGTGATCACCAGGACCAGCCCTACGGCGCAGGCTGCCTGTACCGCCGCCCTGCGAACACGGGGCCGCCGGTCCACATACACCGGCGCCAGATCGCCGTTCATCAGCTTATCTGTACTCATTCTATACAACAACAGTTAAGAAACGATCAGCTGAAGAACAATTAAGCAAGGGTCGTCATAAACAACCCCTAACAATCAAGCTGCGTCCCAGTTGTATGCAGCACTGGCCCACAGCGACTGAAGATTACTCTAAGGACTTTTGGATATAGTCTTGAGACGACACAGTGTCGGGGAAGAAGATAGGGAATCCCCGATACTTTTTATGAGAACAAGACCTTTGCCCATTGGTTGACAGCTTCTGTTGTTTCCACATACGTCATGAGTGTGAATATATAATGAGGATTTAATTGGGTTTTCGTCGAAATCTGAAGTGTTTTCGCCCTACCCCGTAATGACCCGGGTCTATTTTGAGGGACCACGTCACCGGTGTTGTAGAATCAGAGGAAAAACTTGTTCAACTGCTCATGACGTATCCAAGACGGAGGTCAACTCTTGCCTGGAGCAAGAAGTCAGGCTTTAGACCAAAGATTACACATAAGGTCACAGCAAGTAACGTTACATTTTATGGATGACATCCTTCGCAGACTTCAAATCTAATGCGATATGGCGGAAAAAAAACAAGCCAGACAGAAAAAAAAACAAGGATCCTACATTTTTAAATTTTGACATCATAAAACTTGTTAAACAAGAAATGATACCTCTCTATATATATAGGCATGCACACACAAATACAGACGCACACACACACAAGCCAGAAAGAGTACTTCACTCCTTATCTCTGTCAATAATCTGTAATTCTTGCCTTTATTTCAAAACAGCAGGTTTGTGCACTAAAATAATGACATTCATCGTAATTTTATGTCAACATGTGTATATATTTGATTGAAGACTTTTGAAAATTGTCATTATAAAGTATTTCTCCTCAAGAAAACATCAATCATGTGAGAGCTCTTTTCTGATTGGTCCCCAGGCTGTCATTGGAAACCTCTGCCTGACACAAATCTGTCAATCATGTCAAAGGCGCGCTCTGGTTGGTCGAAAGGAAGAATATGGCCCCCACCCTTGACAATCACCTGCAAAGGAAACAGCACGGAAAAAACTTGAATGTGGATCTTCAGTCCATGACTCTCAATAGTACACATGTGTCCCTTAGCCTGAGTGTCAGCCTTGTTAGCTTTCGTCCGCATCTTGGGGAGCGGACGAAAGTTTGCAAGGCTGACACTTAGGCTATGTATCCCTAACATTTTGCTACAAATTTTCTGTAAGTTAGGGTTAGGGAAAGTTGTGTTGAGGTCACCTGGTGGCCCCAAATGGCAGCTGCACAGACCCGTGCAACAGTTCCACAAAAATGTGTTCAAGAAATATGTGTGTATCATGTTTGTGATTATTGATTGTAAACCCTGCATCAATTCAGCCCTATGAAGGCTGCGATTGCACGGGTACTGATTGACCAATAAACCATTTATGAAAGGGTTAAAAGATCTCACCTGGTAGAAGTTTCCGACCTGTCTGACGAAGCCGGCCACCTCGGTGTCTGAAGGGTTAATCTTCCACACAGTCCTGTCCGACTTCTGATACTGCTGCAGTCCGGACCAGGGAAGGCTCCACAGGAAGTTTTCCGTCAGTGGCCCAGCAACAATCACATCCAACTGGCCGTTGTATATCAACACCTGAACAGCCACAGTGTATAAATTAATGCTTCAAGGAGACAACATTTAACAAACAACTCTATGGCTCTCTCCCGCCCATTTTGTCTGTAGTGAGACGATGTAGGCTCGCCCTGGCAGGGCATTGTTGTTCGTAGTAACAAACCAGCTGACTAATACAGTGGCTACCCACAACGTTTTGACTGTTGGAAATTCCTTCATAATCAACAGTACCTGCCAAAGGGCTGTGCACTGGTTTTGCACAGGCGCAGTACATTCTGCCGACGTGCTCAGTTACACTACTCCCCCTTTTCTTTACAAGATTCGTCCTCGAATCTTCCGAATTCGACATCCCTGGAGCGGCACTCTTTGCCAGAACTCCCAATGCCGGTGTGGGAACCACTCACTCAAGTAAGTAACAGGAGGAGCCAGCAGAAACAGATAAAAAAACCCTGGACCCAGGCCGGGCTCGAACCCACAGCCCCCGGGCCACACGTCGACGCTCTAACCACTCGGCCAAAAAGGTCTAGACCCTACGGCCGGGTCAGTTGGTAGCGCCTATAAACCCCCCACTGTTACTATACCTTGTAGTTCTCCATAATGGTAGCTACCCAGGGTGCAACAGACTTCATGACATCACTCAGCAGGTGTTTCTCGACCTCTGACCCGTCATGGAAGGTAAGGTTACCGACATGGATGGCCTTCCTGACCTCAGGTCTGGCCAGGTACTTCCAAAAGTACTCCTGTTCAGGAGGCTCCTACAGAAATATCATATAAGGACATGGTAACTGTGTAGAGGATGAAGCACACTTTGTCTTAAAATTCTCGCTTTATACAGACATGTGGAAATTGGAAACAAATACAAGAATAAAAGAACGTCCTTGAAGTTCAGTTTCACCGGTAAAACCAGGAGTCTTTATCAAGCAGACATGAACTCATTTTTCTGCTTTTACATTTCCCACGCTGAATTTGCTCAATGTGTTCAAAATAGAACAGGTTCAATGCGTTCAATCAGGATCAGTCTATTCTTCTTCCTGGTTTCTACTGTCTTCAAGCTGTTACAATCTTGACTGCACTGAAATATGCTACTGTCTTAAATTAGACAAATTCCCAGAACTTGCGTCTTTATGACGAACGAAGGCCCTTAACTAAGACATCTGTAAATCCTGGCACTTACCACAGTCCTGAGGTAGTTGAAGTAGTTGGTCCCACCGGTGATGTTGTAGAAGTAGGAAGGGTACGGATATACGTCGCCATTCAGGAGTTCATCAAACGTCTAAAAATAACCAACAAGAGAGGTAAGACTACAGACAAACATACACACAAACTCACACCAATGTTGTAAAGGAGTTCAATAGGACATCGTCCTAGGGTGTTACAAAGGACAGATTTATACCAGCTGTACAGACACAGAAGGGTATACTGATATATAAGCTGGTGTGTTACGCCGAAGGGCGGTTATACCGGCTATACAGATACAGAAGCTGGTGTGTTACGCTGAAGGGCAGTTATACCGGCTATACAGATACAGAAGCTAGTGTGTTACGCTGAAGGGCAGTTATACCGGCTTACAGATACAGAAGCTGGTGTGTTACGCTGAAGGGCAGTTATACCGGCTATACAGATACAGAAGCTGGTGTGTTATGTTGAAGGGCGGTTATACCGACTATACTGATACAGATTTCGACAACCCTAAGTTTGAACATAAGAAAGTCGGGGAACACACCCGCATGTTTTTGTGACTTACCTTAAAGGCTTCCATGTACTGCATGTCACTGATCAGTTTCTGCATCAAAGTCACAGCAGCGCTGACTACTTTAGCCTGATTTTCATCACACAAGCCTGTGTTATACAGGAAGGCTGGCAGGGCTGGGTATTGCTGCAGGATAGAGAAAGTATTGATGATCAATTATTGGTGATCAAACTCTTTGTAGAGGGAGACCGAGGCACACCTGGACGGACCTGCTGACCACCGACCTCCAGGCTGCAGGATTGGACATCACCACCGCCTGGGTGGCAGCCAGAGACTGGACATCACCACCGCCTGGGTGGCAGCCAGAGACTGGACATCACCACCGCCTGGGTGGCAGCCAGAGACAGGCAGACCTGGAGGGCCGTATGCAGAGACGCTACGGCCCCTGGGAGGGGCATGCGGAGCTGAGTGAGTGAAAATCTTTTTTCAATAATCACAGAGAAATGTGCTACTTTCTGAATACTTATCAATCATTCTAAATAAGAAGGTTCATGGGAAAGGCACTATTTTCTCACTCGACTCAGGTGGAAATGAGAACCTAGCTTCAGTTAGGGTTATCCTTTCAAATAGGAAATTGATGATAGGTACGTAAGTGAGCACGTGTAAGACCGAAGTGCGCTTATTAAAAAGAGCAGGCCTGTCTGGGGTGCTTCCCAGTGTGAGTGGTTCAAACCTTACAGTCTGATCTCAGGGTTCAGACATCTTTGAAGAGGTGATGGTCACCTGTTATGTCAATCCTTCTACATATGTGGTAAATCTTCATAAATAAATAAACCTCAGAGAAAGAATGACTGTCGTGAATTTTGTCATGGATGTTTTAAGGACCTTACATTTATCGGATCACACAGACCATCTCCGATGGCCATGCCTTTAAAGTTGATCTTGAACTTGGCTGTCGGGTTTTCCATGTGGATCTTGTAGCTCAGCGCCGGAACATACTTCCCTGCATAGGACTTGGATCAAAACAAATGTCAAACCTCGTCACTTTAGATTCAGAAACACAGTGGATGGTTGTAAGAAATCAATTAGAAAATCAAAGATGTCAAACAGTATATTTTTAGGCGACAGGAAGAAACACAAGCTCACACCAGCCTTACCTCTCCGGTGATATAGAAGTCATTCTTGTGGAAATCAGTGTAGATCTGGTAAAACTGAAGCAACGCACTGTAAAGTGTGAACATCTGAATCAGAACTTTTACAGACAATATTTAATGCTGCTGAAGTAGCCATTTGGCACCAAAAATTTGTATTGCTTATGGGGGCCTTAGGTATGAAAAGGTTAATGATAATCTTGTATCCTATTGGTTCACACAATGTCTGGCAAAATTCGAATACAGAATTCGGACATTGGAATTGATGTTGTTGTTGCATTTTTGGGGGGTTTAGGGACACCAAGTTTTCACTCATTTTGCATGGAAAAGCGTGTTTTCTTGGGTGGGTATGACATAAATAGAATACAACACGGTGTATTCCGCATGACCCTCGGTCCCAGCCCTCCCGTGGGTTAGATCTCCCTCCAGGGATCCGACTCGCAGTCGGGCTGGTACCTTGGGCGATACGGAATACACCGTGTTGTATTCTATATTTCTCACACATGCATCATCTGCCTGCCACAGCTTACTTGTACAGGTTATCTGCAACTTCTCCCTGGTTTGTGGCGAATCCAGCATCAGACTTGGTGAAGCTGAACCCTGTGCCCACCTGCAAAGTTGGAAAGTTAATAGTCTTCAATGGCAACTGACCATTAAAATTTAAACTAAAAAGACACTTTGGGACATTTTTGGGACAACAGAAAAATAGTTCAGGACAGTTGAAATCTATTTTGGGGACAGTGCTGGGACAATAGGAAGAAAAGTTAATTTCAAGGCCTGAAGTATTGGACCAGATGTTCTGCTCTCATTATGTGATGATTGTGGTCTACATGTACATGTATGCTGAACACCTACTCACTGTTATTGCCGTTTGTCTGTTTGTTTGTTTGTTTACGTCAATGAAGGTTAGAAATCCAGGTAATAAGATACGCCAAAAAGCAGATACTCAAGCAACTGGATATGATTTTGGAAACGTCTGGAGATATGATTTTGGAGACGTTTCAGGTAGTATCCACTAGCTTTCGTAAGTGACGGGGTTAGGGTTAGGGTTAATAGAGTCAGTCACTGACGAAAGCTAGTGGACGTTTCCAAAATCATATCCAGTTGCTTGAGTAACTGCTGTTTGGCGTGTTTGTTTGTTTGTTTGTTTGTTTAGCAGCTCTGGAATACTTACAGGATTGTCTATGTACAGCATGGAGTATGCTGAAGCCCAGGTCACCTTTTTATTCATCACTGCAAAACAAGCAGTTTTCAGACTCTTACCCAAAACAGAGGCCTTATAAAGTACAATGGCCCATGCATTTCAGTTTTACATTGATTAACAATAAATTGAATAATTTTGACGAAAATCTGATTAGCCCTTCACTATAATGATTGTAGCTAGAACCAAGAAGGTTTAAACCTCCTTGCTAGCTAGAACAGGCCATTAAAGATGGATGCCAATTAAGCTATAGTTTAATTTTAGTTGTTATGACTTGGCCTTGTGGTGTCAGAAATAGTAGCCTCGGTGCATACCAAAAACCGTGCCATCTTTATCCTAGGTTACCAAATTCAAAGGAGTCAGATTATGAGAGCCTTGGTTAAGCCTTAAGATCGCACCCAGACTAGCTGGATAGACACCTGCAGTGTAAGTACAACAAGACTGGCAATGAAAACATACATTGCCGTGGGGACGGTGGTTGCTGTTAGGGTTATTGTTTGCATGACACTGCCATGATATAATGGTATTGAGGAAGACTTGGTACCTAGACAGATACAGTGCACTCCTCCCCTGAGTGTATAGTGAACGAGCCCCGGGGTCATAGAAAGTAAGGCATCCGGGGCAGAGAGGTCTTTAAAGGTTTCCAGGAATGTGGGCATAGATGTGGGTCAGAGACATGCCTGTGGACATTCCATTCCTACATGGACAAAATGACTGTAGTCACTGTACGATTCCTAGAATTGTTGCGAATTGTACACCATGCTGTACCATTAGGCTCCTCCCTGAGACGTCGCCAAAATTGTACTATTAACTCACACTGAGCGTCCTGAGTGATGTAGAATGGCCCCGTCTCGGTGAAGACTCCGTACATGGACGTTGCACCCGGCCCTCCCTCAAGCCACAGCAGCACGGGAGCATTCTCTGGGTCAGACTGGCGGGGACAGAAAAGGGAAATGTCCGTGAATAGTTTCATCAGGTTTGTAAGTTACTGAGTAAAGAGACTCTTTTACATAGTCTTTTACTCACAGCCGACACACAGATCTTATAGGTCTTTGCTCTTTCGGAGACCGGCATACAAATTAAAGCACATATAAAGCAGAAGCTGCAAATATGATTGAGACTGACCAGTGCAGGGAAGAACCAGAAGAAGAGATTACTGCTGTCGGTTTTGTTGACAGTCAGGTAGCCGGAGTAGCTGTTGACTGTCGTGTTTGGGAGGTTCACCTCACTCAGCGTTCGGGCTGTGAACAAAGAGAGTCAGACATTCTCAAGATCAGGTTATACCACATCATAAGAGATGCATTTGGCTACACCGTCACACCATGACCTAACCATCGCTGTCATGCCTCATACCTTTGACCCATGACCTAACCATTGCTGTCATGGCTCATACCTTTGACCCATGACCTATTTCTGTCATGCCTCATACCCTCTGGCACTTGACCTGTCAATCTGTCATGCCCCACAACTAGTGCATCCAATTTAACCCATGACCTACATTTTTCTACTATGCCCCATGGCCTCTGGCCCTTGACCTACCCTTGACTTTTGTGCCATAACCCCTGACCCTTCACCTACCTTTCTCCGCCATGCCCTGTTCCAAATAAGGAGTGAGGAAGAGCGGGTCTCCGTAGTCCTGACCGGGCTGGATATCGTGGTGCACCCTGGGAAACATGGCACGGAACGGGCCGCCACGACTCCGTCCGAGCCCTGCGGCCTTCTGGGATACCAGGATCGCCACAAGAAGCACGAAACTGTGTCTAAGTCCCTGCATCATCTTCTTCTTCTGACAGTCTGAAAAAAAGTTACAAAAGCTTGGAAGTCAGTTTGTAAATCCAAGGGCATATCAAATTAGCCTTTGATGCAATGTAAAATGTATGCTGCTGTCTTTCTTATGGTATCCCCAGAGAGAATATGTTGAGAGACCAAGAGTGAGCTATGTATCGATTGCTTATTAGGCCTTGTGTGAAAGACAGGATGACCCTATACTAGTCCCAATAATTAGGCAATATGAAGTAAGAAGTAACAGTTAACAAACTAAATTGACGAGAGGAATTTACTCAGTTATAGTTACTCATGATATTGTATATATGTAACGTTAATTGTATTATATTCTTTTGTTGTGACATGTACTTTGAACCCATGAGTAGGTATGTGTGTACAATAAAGGTCTAAATCATTCATTCATTCATTAAATGTATGGCCAAAAGAAGTATACTTACCAAATCACCTGTTGTAAACCGACATTTTACTATCACGTTATGTATAGTATATAGTCCATATAGAATATATAACGCTAACTTTACGTAATACTGAAAGTCAGTATGTTAGTCACATCACCATGATGTCACCAGTTGGGTGGAAATGCTTTGCGAACTAGAAAGGCCAATATTTGCTTTGGAGCAAATACAGCGATGGCTTCACCACATTTTACGACATGGCAGGGAAAGAATGAGAAACACAAGGGAAAACAATGCTTTACATTGATATAACTATAATATGAAGTAACATACAACTAAGACTACAACAGTTGGCTAGCTATTCCCTACATTATTGGTTAGGATTTTTAATTGCATAATGCAAACTGTTGATTAAAAAAAAAAAAAAACGTTCATGCCCCGCATTCCAATGCTGGAGCAGGAAAGCTTGAAATACCTACCAAAACACTTGAATACAGACATACTGTCAGTATGGAAATGGTCTGTGCAGGTGTTAATCAAGTTAAATCCCAACAGCCAATCAGCAAGAAATGCTCTGTGCAGGTGGAAATGGTCTGTGCAGGTGTTAATCAAGTTAAATCCCAACAGCCAATCAGCAAGAAGAAGAGAGGAAAGCTGCATGCCTATTGGTTGATGCCCTGCATTCCATTGTGATGACTCATGCCAAATGTGGTTAACACTGCCCACTGACACAGTAATACATTTGCTATAATACAGCCAAAAAACTCAAATAAAACCATTCTAAAAGCCTGTATCGCAAAAATTTAAAAAACGCCTAAGGGTATTTGCCCACTGTACCTCCATACCAAATTTCAGATCCTTAGGCCCCAAAATGAAGAAGCTGAATCCATTTTTTAAAAATGGCAGGAGAAGGAGAAACATCAGAGAAAACAATATGGTGAAGCCATAATTAAATCCTTAGTATAATACGTCGATACGAAGGAAGAATCTCCCAACACACTGAGCTGGAATATTAAAAACTAGAGTTCCCCGATCTCATACCTTCGCCAAATGATGTTAATCTTTATGGCTGACAAATTATAGATTATTCCCCCTGATTGTGCAAATAGGATCCCCATTTCCATGAATTGTATCACTTTATCATATTATCAACCAAAAGACAGTCTTATGTTAACAAACAGTGCCATTCTATCATTTCCTCATAAATTATGCAAATAAGGTCCTGATTTGAATACATTATGTTTAATGATGTTTACCTTCACCGAACTTTCAAATACCATGAGTATGAAATTCCAGTTACCACTACAGAATTATAACATTTTCTCATTAATTATGCAAATTAAGTCCTCATTTACATAATCAATATTTGTCTGTGTTTCTCTGCTTCTCAATTACCAATGTCACAAGCTTCAATAGTCCTATCATGGAATGCAGCTGATTTATAGAATTTCCCTATAAATTATGCAAATCACATCCATATTTGCATAATTGTCACATAATTATATCAAGCATCACGTAAGTTACCTACATACCAAAAATCACGACGATCCGTCAACCGGTTCTTGAGTTATCCTCTTTTGAATATTTTAAAACAGATAGCCCTGCAGTTCCAGAGCAAGCCGCTAGGAGGATTAAACTCAGGTCACTTCTTCCCCAGCACAAGAGCTACCTACCAACCAAATTTCGTCACCCTAGCATGTCTGGATCCTGAGATATCAAAACCGGAAGTTCAGCTGCAATATCATAACAAGCCGCCAGGAGGCCCAAAATCTAATCAGTTCGAGCTCTCATCAAGACCTACCCACCTACCAAATATCAAGATAAGCCATCTAAGCCTTCTTGAGTTATGCTGTTGTCAGACACACAGACACACACACGGCCAGGAAAACATAACCTTCTCCAATTCTTGGCGAAGGTAATTAAATCATACATGTACGTGTAACCAAGGTGTAACGTTACCTTAACAGGGTTTACAGGAAAACCTTAGTAACGTTTCCACGCCCACCTGGTCTGGCCGTGACCACTTCAGTTGATGCAACTTGAGCTTGGTTGATGTCAAGACGCTGGCAGTTTATAGTAACTTGTGTATCTGAGACCGGTCCCGCTAGTGTAGACTTTTAGGCACGTGAATATCATGTGAATTTAGGCACGTGGATGTCATTGCCCTGACCTTTGGTAACCCCCTGGTGGCAAGGCCTGCATCACCAACACGCATCGCAAGGGGCGCTGTTTGACGGTGCAACAAGTATGTCAGCATTTCAAAGGGGTTTTACTATGGCCAACTATGTGATATGTTCTTTACTTATAGTGGTTACGTGTATACGTGTGCGAGTATGTGTGTGTGTGTGTGTGTGTGTGTGTGTGTGTGCACGCGCGCGTTTGTGCGTGTATGTACGTGTGTATGTGTGTGCGTGCATGTTCGTGTGTATGTGTGTAAATGTGTTTTGCTGTGAGTCCCAATACACACACTACCCTGCTCATCCTAGGTGATTTACAACCAGCAAACTAAGTACTGTCACTTTTAGAATGCACTAACCTTACTGTTTCTTGTGGCTGTCCTTAGTACTGAAAATGGCATCCAATGCTGCTGGCTACTTTGACTTTGGAATCCAAATAAAAACTTTTTTTCTGTTATATTAATGTTCTGAGTATATTAAACGTTTGGTTATCTAGACAAACTTAAATCCAAAGGAAAAGGCTAGCGTTTATGGAGTAATTAATCTAACGGCGACATCTAGCGGTGGTTGTGTGAACTAGAAGCTAAATGTGCACAACAATACAAACTAAAGGCCACAAAAATAAAGTAGCCGACTAAATGATTATATATATATATATATATAAACTTACGGAGGATCTCGTTGTAAGCTGAACGACTTGCTCGAAAAAATCACTTGGACAAAGTAGTGGAAGGGAAACGGGCCACGCAAATTCCGTGACCCCAAACTTCGGTAGGAGACCAATAATACAAACATGGCGTGACCCGCGTCGAACATGTGATGTGACATCAACAGGTAAATTCGGCGTTACCGTGAAAGTTACGTCAAAGGAGAGAGGTAAATCGGGTGTTTAAAGTAAGAGAGTCTTCGGGCAGGTTAGAGTCGAATGCACTTCGTCAGTGTTGCTTCAAATTCAATGCCGTGATTTCGGACAAGATCATCAGATGGGTAGAATGGGGGAGGGTAGCCTGGTATCCAGTCTGATCGTGATTGGGGGTATTGGGGTATTTAGGCAGGTTGTGTCTTCGGGGCCTCTAAGACCTTCCCCCGCCCAGTGCAACAGACCGTCCCGGTAGGAGTGTTACGCTAATTAGAGACAGTATGCTCGGGGATTTGGTTTCCCCCAACACGATGTTCGTGGAGGGCTAATTAATCTCTCGTGAAATACACACCGGGACGCTTATGTCAGGCGGGCGGGCCAGAACTCTTGCGGCCCCGACCACGAATCAGACTGGATACCAGGCTAGGGGGAGGGGGGCAGCGTTAAAGTAAGTCATAGAGAGCCCCTTGTAATAGTAGTGTAATAGTGCTACTTAAGTGTCGCAAAACGTTACAAGTATAAGTTTAACCCTCGTAAAGGAAGGCACACGATATTCTTCGAATATTTTATTGAGGATTATCATTTTGCACTTAAAAAGTTATGATAAGGGCCACAGATTATCAGGTACTGAACTCCTACATGTAATTAACTTAACGTTTATATCCATGAACTAAGCTTACTTCCTTTGTATATAACGTTATACTTGACTCATTGATTGATATTTCGTATTTAGTTGTATATTGCAGACATATAAATAATGATATTAAGATAATTATGCAGCAGTATATAGTTAAATATTTATGTTTACCGAAGGAAAACATATTGTTTTTACTCAGTTTCTTCCTCTTCTTCCGTTCCAAACACTGACGTCTGACCTGGCCAATGACATGATTTGTTGACGTCTGTCACCATGGTAACTGGTGTTGGATTACATAATGTTGCAATTTTATTGCCTGCTCTGCTCCTGTCACAATATACTAGTAGTACATGTATGTGAAATGTGTTTGAGTGAGAATTAACAGAGCAGACCATGTCCAAAGGTAAACATTATGCATTTGCTTCGCAAATGTTACTTCTCTAGTAATTGTTAAGTTTTAATCTTCAAATGTAACTTTACATTGTACAATCAGAGGAAAGATGCAGCCACGAAGAAACTGGCAAGTCCTTGTCCTCCTTGCGACCTTGATGACCTCCCAGTCAGCGGGTCAAGGTCGCGTCGGCCCGTTCCGCGCCATGTTTCCCAGGGTGCACCACGATATCCAGCCCGGTCGAGACTACGGAGACCCGCTCTTCCTCACTCCTTATTTGGAACAGGGCATGGCGGAGAAAGGTGGGTCAGGGGTCAGAGGTAAAAGGTACAAAGGTTAATGGTAGGTCAAGGGTCAGAGGTGGATCTGACCTTCAAGTGGATCTGAAGGGCTTATTTTGCACTGATCATTCTAATCATTCATTCAATCATTCATTCATTCATTCATTCATTCACTCTTAGACTAATCATTCATTCATTCATTCATTCCAGTCATTCATTCATTCTTACACTGGCAAGGCAAACACTGCAATTGATTTTGATACAGAAGACTGCTACTGCTGAAAATCCAGTGCTGAGACTTTCTCAGCACTGGATTTCCTGAGCTGAGGCTTCAGCTCTGGAATAGAGCCGATCAGCACTGGAAACCGAGAGCTGAAAGGAGTTCAGCACTGGATTTCCAGTGCTGAAAAGTCTCAGCACTGGAAGTGTCCATAACTAAGGAACAAAACCAATGTCTACGTACGTTATATGTACAGACAAAAAAGCTGAATACCACAAGTACCCCTGCCCTTTTCAGGGCCACTCAAATCACTCCCAAAGGGGCTATACATGTATCTATAACTAGAGTTCCCCGATCTCATACCTTCGCCAAATGATGTTAATCTTTATGACTGACAAATTATAGATTAGATTATTTCCCCCTGATTTAAGAAATAGGAACCTGATTTTCATGAATTATATCATTTTATTATAATCTCAACCAAAAGACAGTCTTATATTAACAAACAATGCATTCTAGCATTTCCTAATAAATTATGCAAATGAGGTCCTGATTTGAATAAATTATGTTTAATGATGTTCACCTCAATTTAACTTTCAAATATCACAAGTATGAAATTCCAGGCAGTTATCATTACATAATTTTCTCATTAATTATGCAAATTAAGTCATTATTAACATAATCAATATCTTCCTGTGTTTCTCTCGTTGTCAATTACCAATGTCACAAGCTTCAATTGTCCTATCATAGAATGCAGATGATTTATAGAATTTCCCCATGAATTATGCAAATTACATCCATATTTGAATAATTGTCACATAATTATATTAAGCATCACGTAAGCTACCTACATACCAAAAATCACGACGATCCGTCAACTGGTTCTTGAGTTATCCCCTTTTGAATATTTTCAAGAATATATCCCTGCAGTTCCAGAGCAAGCCGCTAGGGGGACCAAACTCACGTCACTTCTTCCCCAGCACAAGAGCTACCTACCATCCAAATTTCATCACCATAGCATGTCTAGATCATGAGATATCAAAACCGGAAGTTCAGCTGCAGTACCATAACAAGCCGCTAGGGGGTCCAAAATCTAATCATTTTGAGGTCTCATCAAGACCTACCCACCTTCCAAGTATCAAGACAATGCATCAAGGCCTTCTCAAGTTATCGTGTTGACAGACAGACAGACAGACAGACAGACAGACAGACACACACACACATACACGAGCGCCCCTGAAAACATAACCTTCTTGGCGAAGGTAACAATCACACAACAATCGAAGCAATATCTTTCATGATCAGAAATAAAGTTGTTCATCATCTCTTGTACTTGGTGATATCACTTACACTGGAGCCTATAAATTAATCATAGTTATTTTTTAATGAGCAAATCAACGAAAAAAAATCACATAGGTGCTGTTTTAGTTTCTTGTAATAGACGTTTCAAAAACCACATGCAGTTGCTTGGGTAACAGCGTAAAGTTTAATAACGTTAATAGTTTAATTTTAGTGACAGGAATACATTCGGCACAGATTTCCTACCTCTCAGCACTGGGACATTCCCAGTGCGGGGAAGACGTAAGCACTGGTTCGAGGAGCATTCCAGTGCTGAAAGACGTCAGCACTGATTTTTCCAGTGCTGAAGGGACGTCAGCACTGGTTTTCCAGAGCTGAAGATTTTTCAGCACTGGTTTTACAGTGCTGAATTCTTTCCCAGCACTGGAAAATCCAGTGCGGAGGGCGTTACTTTTGTATACGAGCACTCGGTTCCAGTGCTGAAACCGCCGTCAGCACTGGGGACCCAGTGCTGAGCGACCTTTGAACTGGCTCTGCCGCGCGTTCAGCACTGCAGACCGAGTGCTGAAAGGAGTTCAGCACTGGAAACCGAGAGCTGAGACAACGTTCAGCCCTGGAACAGAGCAGTTCAGCTCTGGAAATCCAGTGCTGAATTTTTTTCAGGACTGGAATTCCAGTGCTGAGGGAGCTTCAGCTCTGGAATAGAGCCATTCAGCTCAGGAAATCCAGTGCTGAACTTTTTTCAGCACTGGAATTCCAGTGCTAACAAAATTTCGAACAAAAAGAATTAAAAACTTACATTCTCCCTCCGTTGTCGTCTCCTGGACGCCGGTAGAGGCCCTCCCGAAGTTGTTGGACGCGACGACCCGTAGCTGGTACCTGGTGCCCGGCTGCAGGCCATCAATGGTCTTCTGCAGGGTCTCGCTGTAAGGGTCAGGCTCCACCTTGTCGGTCTGAAACCACATTGGCCCTGAGCTGGTGCCTGGAGAGGGGGAGGGAGGTGACGGACAAGGTGAGACACCTGTGTGAGGTAGACAGCTTAACTGCTAACCTTTTCACCCTCCAAATGAGATGGGTAAACCTTGCCTGGGTGTTTCCACCATGATGGAAGTATGGTGTGGTCAGGTCAATGATCAAATGTTAGTACAGAAACAGTCCGATATAAATTGTGGCAGACATTTCGGTTACACCCCTATGTTCCCACACCGATATGTTACAATGCCCTTATGTTTCAACAACTCAAACTAAGTTCTGACAACCCTAATATGGTAAATACTTATTAAAGAATTACAATGTAACTAAATATATAAGCAGAGTTCCCAAACAGTGTTCGGGATATCTGCTTCTTCTATTGGGTCATTAATTTCCCACTCTCATTGAGTCGAGCTTGTCTTAAGAGACAAACTTTCAGCACCTGAAAGTGGTCTCTTGGCCTTACAATTAACAAATTCGCTCTAAAAATGTCCTTACCTCGCTCCCTGTATTCCACATAGAACTGGGTCGGTCGTGGTCCAACCTTAGCTGGCACCCAGGACACATTGATGAAGTCCTCTCCTGTGTCCAGGACCTCAACAACCTCAGGAATCAGAGGAGCTGGAACCAGAAAGACCAACAGATGAAAGGAGGGATCATACCTTTGTCTTACCTTTAGCCAGTCTGTTAACAACAAGTCTTCAATTATCTCTTGGGAAATATGTGCAGACTGATGATTTGATAACTACTGTACTTGGTTTAAAAAAAGGATGGTAAATCAAGATGTTGAAGTTCAAATGGAGCCTTTTCCAACGAGGTTAGTAAATCTCATTCAACTGGGCTCTACTTTGATGCTGGCCATCAGTAGCTGCTTTTATGCAATATGTACAGTTTATCAACAAAGGCTTTTTTCCATGCTTGCTTATTTTTAACAGTGCATACTGCTACTGTTCTACAAATGTGTTTTTGGCTATGTCATCTAAATTGCAAACACGGCTTTAAAAATTTAGGATTGCCCTGTTTTGTTACAGTACAGATTAGGTCTAACGACTGCTTTGGCTA